TAAAAAACATGGGTATGCAGGTATCCCTATAGTATGCTGACTTTAATTCCTTCAGGTATTCAGTAAAGAGTGGTATAGCTGGATCAAATGACAGCTCTTTTTAGTTTCTGAGGATCCTCCAAACTGATTTCAATAGAGATGGTACTAATTTGTATTCCCCCCTCCACCGCCCTAGCAGTGTAGACTGGGTCTCCCCCACCATCCGGCATCCTCACCAGCATGTATGTACACATGTGTGTGTGTGTGTGTGTGTGTGTGTGTGTGTGTGTATTTTTTGTATTTTTTATGATAGCCATTTGGACTTGGATGAGATAAAATCTCAATGTAGTCTTGATTTGCATTTCCCTAATGGCTGAAGATGTAAAACATTCTCTCATATATACTTAATCAGTCATTTGTACTTCTTCTGAGAAGTGTCTGTTCAATTCATTTATTTACTGATTGGGCTATCTAACATTTTGGTGTTAAGTTTTTTTGAGTTCTTTAAATACTCTAGGTTTTTTTTGGGGGGGGTGGTAGTGGGGATCGAACTCAGGACCTTGCTCTTGTGAGGCAGGCGCGGCACCACTGAGCTAAAGCCCCAGCCCTAAATACTCTAGATATTAATTCTTTATAAGTACAGTACCTGGTAAAGATTTTCTCCCATTCTGTAGGATGTCTCTTCACTCTACTGTTTCCCTTGCTGTGCAGAAAATTTCATTCGATATCTCATTTGCTGATTCTTGCAATTATTTCCTATGCTTCTAAGAGTCCTATTCAGGAAGTCTTTGCCTGGGCCTATCACTTCAAGTGTTTCCTTTATGATTTCTTTGAGTAGTTTCAAAGTTTCAGATGTTAATACCTAGGTCTTTGATCTACTTTCAAAGACAGAAATCTAGTTTCCATCTTTTACAAATGGATGTCCAGCTTTTCTAGCACCATTTAAGAGGCTGTCTTTTCTCCAATGCATATTTTTGGCTCTCTTGTCCAGAATCAGATGGCTATAGTTCTGTGCATTTGTTTCTGTGACCTCTGTTCCATTTTATTGGTCTACATGTCTATATTTGTGCCAGTATCATGCTATTTTTCTTACTATGGCTTTGTAATGTAATCTTAAATTTAGTATTGTGATACCTCCCGCCTTGTTCTTTTTGCTCTTATGATTGCTCTGGCTATTCTGGGTCTTCTGTGTTTCCATGTGCATTTTAGTATTGTTTTATTTTTTTCTATGAAGAATGGCATTGGTATTTTGATTTAAATCTGGAATCTAAATCTGTAGATTGCTATTGGTAATACAGCCATTTTAACAATATTAATACTGCCACTCCGTGAACACACAAAGTCTTTCCATCTTCTAATGTCTTCAATTTTTTTCCTCAGCATTCTGAAATTTTCATTGTAGAGGTCTTTCACTGCCTTGGTTAGATTGATCCCTAGATATTTACTTTAAGTTATTATGAATAGTACTGTTTTCCTCATTCTTTCTCAGCTAGTCCATTAGTAGTATAGTATACGGAAAAGCTACTGACTTTTTAATATTAATTTTACAGCTTGCTACTTTGTTGAATTTATCAGCTCTAACTTTTTTGATAGTCTTTTGAGTCTTCAAAGTACAGAAAATATTATCTGCAAACAAGGGTAATTTGACTTCTTCCTTTTCTATTTATAACCCTTTTCTTTCTTTCTCTTGCCTAATTGCTCCAGCTAAAATTTCAAGAACTATGTTGGGTAGTAGTAGTGAGTAGACATTTTGCTTTGTTCCTAGTATCTTTACACTTTTTTTTTCCTGGCACATCTGCATCATCATGCAAAGTATTTGCTACAGTAGATACTATGGTTAACACTGAACTTCTAGGACCATTAGTGGGGATTCTCAAGCTTTGGAATCTTCCAAAACTAAACTAAAAGGGCACTAAGAAAATGAATGAGACCAGCAAGAAATTAAGATCTACTTTAAGAAAACCTGAATATTTATTAAGTGATGACCACAAAAAAAGCTAATTTTTCAAATTATTTAGGCTTCTACAGAACTTTCTCTTTTCCTCTGCCTGCCTTTCTTGTACTTTTTCTTCTCCTTTTTTGCAAGCAACATTAACAACTACCACTTTTTCTTGAGAAAGGAAAGCATTTTAGAGTTCCCACAAAAACATTTAAACTGTTAAATGGATGAGATCATACTCATTGGACACACATGTTTAAATACTGCATTGTTTCGCTGGTATGAAAAACCAAAAGTGGAATAAGGACCAAAATGTATAATAGATATTAAGAAATGAGAAAAAAAATATTCAAATGAGAAGAGGAACAAGCGAGGGGGGAAGAGGAAAGGAAAGAAGGAATAAGGGGGAAAAAAGGGAATAGAAGGAAAAATGGCAACTTTTGTAAATAAGGAGGGAAAAGGGGGGCATGGGGGAAAAACAAGATATATCATGTACAAATTCATTACAATGAATGTTATCATTACATATATCTAAAATGTACCAATAAAGGTTTTGCTTCAAAAAACACCTGTATTTATGTCAGTCTTTCTTATCATAATCTCTGATCTCTTTCCAATCAAAATAACTTTGAAAGTATTTTAGAAAAAGTTACATCTTTTTGTTTCAGAATTAACAGCAAAAAAAGTATGAAAGAGCCAGGTATGGTGGCACATGCCTGTCTTTCCAGCACTTGGGAGGCTGAGGCAGGAGGATTGACATGAGTTCAAGGCCAGCCTGAACTACATAGTGAGACCCTGTCTCAAAAAACCAAAAAACAATTTATGAAAGAAAAAAGGAACAAAAGAAATTTCAGTTCAAGGGTTCACATATATAATGCCATGATCCCTTTTTCTGGCAAGGAAAAGATCACTGTGAAGCTTGGGATTAAAGTTCCCTGGTCTGCTGGTGGTATTTTCCACTGCAAAGACCCTAAGAGTTAACAGGTCAAACCAAGAGACCCAGCCTTTTTCTGAGGAAGCAAATATTTACAACTTCTCACAGAGCAAAATATCAGTCAAAATTAGTTATCTCACTAATCACTTTTATAAAATGTATTTTAGGAGAATTCCCTTCTCTGTAGGGAATTAACAAACTGGCAAAGATATGCAGTTTCAAAACATGGAAAAATACTGCATTTGTAAAAGCATGGATTGGTAACAAGACATCCCCCTTCTATCATAACCAGATACATCTTCAGTCTTTCCCTCAAACTCAAACTATTCCCTAAATTAACAAACTTTAATTCCAGCCTTATTATGTTAGCAAGTGATTTTTTTTTTTTGACACAGTGTTGTTGTGTAGTGCAGGCTGGCCTTGAACTCACAGTAATCCTCCTGCATCAGTCTCCTGCATGCTGGGATTATAGGTGTGCACCACATGCCTGGCTGTGATCTTTCTTAAATACATCTATCTGGGCTGAGGATTTAGCTCAGTGGTTCTGTCACCTGCATCGCAAGCTCAAGGACCCCAGTTCATCCCTGGTACCAAAAAAAAAGAGTAAACTCAGATCTATCTTCAAAGCCTAAACAAAAAAAAAGAGTTTAGGTCTTTAATAACAACAAAAAAAATATATCTACCCTTGGTTTTACTATAGCATGAGTAACTGAGGAAAAATAAGTGGAAAGAAAACTAACTTTATAAACCACCTGGCCAAAGATAACTCAAAGTTTAGAGTCTCACATGTTTACAATAAAATATAAGAAAATAAGTTGGACTCATCTTTTTTTATTTTCTTTTTTGAGTACCAGGGATCAAACTCTGGACCTTGTGCTTGCAAGACAGGCGCAGCATCACTGAGCTACATGCCTGGAGTTGGACTCACTTTGAATTTCAAGTTTCTTAAATTCAGATGATATAACTATGATCAGAAAGTCAGAAATGAATTTCAAAGGTAATGAAAATACAGTTAAGTATAAAAAGTTATCAGGAAAAGATATTTTAGAGAAAAAAGTCTCCCAAAGAACATGATAAAAACATACTACAATTGTTAAAATATGCATTTGCAAAAAAAAAAGAAAGGAAATTTCTGAAAGACAATCAAGGTTGAGTAAAAATAAACTGTCTCAATTTCCAAAAGTTAACAAAAAGAGCTATTTTGGGGCAAATGTAGCCAGACAGCAGGCAATGTCCCTCTTCAAATGTTTCTTTCCTATCTCAGAGAATACTGGATTCACTTGCAGAAGGGTGAAGTGCGGGTGAGGAAAAAGCATGGGCTCTGGACCCAGAATGCCTGGGCCTCTTGGCTCTGCCACTTGCTAGCTGTCTCCGATTTACATAACTTAACCTCTCTGAGCCTCTACTTCCTCATCTGAAAAATAAAGACAATAATACTCACCTCATAGGGCTGATGTGAGGCTAAAATATGTTAGTTATGTCAAGTGTTTATATAAGCAAGGCCTGGTGCAAAATAATACGGTAACACACTAGCTTAAACTCAGCTTCCACTCTGAAGTCCTTATGATATCACACATCCAACCATTTGCCTCTATTTCCAATGCAAAAAGTTGACTGAAGTAGTTGAATGTTTAGTCATACTGTTACCTGTCTCATTTGCCTACTGGCAAGCTATACCCAACTGATCTGCTTCCCAGGAGGAGCTTCCAGGGCTCTGCAGAAGCAGCTGGGGCTCCCCATGGTTGTTCACACCAATCTTTCCAGTGTAAACCTTCAACACTAGCCTTGAAAAAACTTAAAACAGACTGATGTAGCCACTGGCCCCTAGATAACATCTCAAGGATTCCATTCCCCCACTGTTTCTAACTGAATCCAAACTAGAATCATCAAAGTCTTCTGAGGATCAGTATAAGTCCTCCTCTTTAAGAACCTTCTCAATGATTCTGCTTTTCTTTGCATTCCTATTTGAATATTGCTCTTGTAGGACTCACCTGGAGCTTATGGAAATACACCATTAGGTCTGGATGTGGTTTCACTTCTCGTAAGACTATAAAATGTTTTGGGATGCAGATTAATTCTTTCTCAATATGGCAACAGCAGGAATGAAATTAAAATTCTCTACATTATGAAGAATTGAAATAATCTTACCTGAACTGTTACAACTGCTGCTCCCTGGCATTTCTTACCCCCACTGCCTCTACACTCCAAATGTAGTGTGGTCTGCTCTTCTCGGTTGACATACTTTTTGGGCATTGTGTCCAACAGTTCACTATCCAGGGCAACCTGCTGAGACTCCCGAAGAGCTGCAGTTCTGGAAAACATCCCAGAAGGTAGATTAAAGTATTTTAAAAGGTCATATGGAAAGTAATAAGCTTTGGGCCAGGGATTTAGCTCAGTGGTTTCACCACCTGCTGTGTAAGCACAACGGCCCGAGTTCGATCCCTGGTACCAAAAAAAAAAAAAAAAGTAATTAGCTTCTAGTTAACCCCAGCCAGCATTATAGCACAGTATTCCACACTAACAAAAAACCTGTGCCAAGATTTAGCCAAATCCTGTCTCCTGACAGAGAGGCTAACCCAGAAGTTCAGAAATAAAAAACAAGTGTTATAAAAAAGTGGCACAACTTTTTAGCCAGCAACAAAATTTCACTTAGAACCTGTGTGGTATCAACAAGACTTTTTAATGGACCCTGAAATATATAAGAACAAGTGAGAATTCTGGCCTACTTTAATCACTCCAAACGGGTGCCTTATGTGCCAGTGACTTTAGGTATTAGCACTTCAAACTGAAACTGCCAAAGACCAAGACAGCTAAATGTAAGTGGTACAGCACATATACAAAGCCCTGGACTCAAACCCTGGGACTACCAAGAGAAAAAAAAAAGTTATATTTGTGTATGAGATATGAATACTATTTTAACTGTATTTTGTTGTTGTTGTTGTTTGGTGTTTTGGCACCAGGGATCAAACTCAGGACCTTGCACTTGTGAGGCAGGCAGTGGAACCACTAAGCTAAATCCCCGGCCCTTAACTGTATTTTTTTGTTATTATGTTAATGGGCAGATGCTCTTCTGTGCAGACAACATATACCTAATAAATGCCTGAACCAATTTTTATTTCCAGCCAAGAAAATATGTCAATAAAAAATGATTTACATGGGATTTGTAAAGCTTAGTGGTAGAACAGTCACTCAGCACATGTGAGGCCCTGGGTTCAATCACTCATAATACAAAAATAAATAAATAGGCTTACTCACTGTTAATGAAACAAATATCTCCACACACACTCCTCACAAAACTACAAGCTAGAATCAAATCCTTAAATAGCTGATTATTCTGTACCTACCATGTAACTCAAAACACTAAACGTCTTTCTCACATTTTGACCAAGTACCTATGTCAATTTTTAAAAGAATATAGTAAGAAAGAAAAGCAACCAGGTGTTGTTCACACCTGTAATCCCAGTACTCTGGGAGGCTAAGGCAGAATTTCTGATCACAGGTTCAAGCCCAGTCTGGGCAACTTAGTGAGACTCTGTCTCAAAATAAAAATGGCTGGGGGCTCTAGCTCAGTACTGCAAAGGGGGGGGGGGCAGTGGGGGAAGAGAGAATAAATTAGTGATAAAAGAAAACAAATCTCATTTCATCCCCTTTCAACACCATCTTCCCAGTATCACAAGGTCTTGGCAGGAAGAATAAGGTCTCAGCCAGCGCTGTTGACACTCAAAAAACGCGCCCCATAAAGAACAGGTAAGAATAGCAGCCTCTAATTTCCATGTGAGATCAAAAGACTTGTCACAAGTCTGTTCACCAGGTGAACCACCTGTGGCAGTCTGGCCAAATTAACCTTAGTTCAGAATGCTGATGAGGAAGCCAATCAGGTACTAAATTATCCAGGCTATCAAAAAAAAAAAAAAGGCAATCATGGGGCATGCTCCTAGAGCTCAGTCTTACCTGGCCTGCTGTTGCAGGAGATTCAGGTCTGTGCACACAAGCTGGGTGGTGTCCCTCTGACTCAGGAGGACCTCTGACGAAATAACTGGCACAGGAGGCCTCATGGGGTGCAGAACAAGGGGAGGATGGGGAACCTCATGCTTCCGCAGGTTATTTAAAACTCTTTCTTTAGCTGAAAGAAAATTAAATCATACTTTCTCAGTAACAAGTACTAATATATAATAATGAATACAAGGGTCAGGGATGTGGCTCAGTGGCCACTGTACCTGCCTGGCAAGAGCAAGGTCCTGAGTTCAATCCCCAGTACTGAGGGAAAAAAATGAATACAAAGCCTTGGTACATTAATTTCACAAAAAATGCTGGAGATCTCCAGAATAAACCTCAGAGGCCTAAATGAACAGAATCACTAATTTTGATTCTTGTGAGTTTTAAGGAAATACTTACAGGCGTTACAATATTCTACTAGGAGCTCAGGCGTACATGGCACAATTCAATAGAACTATCCTCAAAAAGTTCACAGTCTAATAGTTGCTCAGCAGAAAAAGCTCATGATCTTAAATAACTGTTCTGCTCTTGACAGCCCTGCATGACATGCGAAGAAGTCTGGATTTGATGTCAGTGAAGATGTATCAAAGAGAAGTTCTCAGCAAGGTGATAGGTATAATCTGGACAATGGATGGGTGAATGAGGTTTGTCCAGAGTAGCTCAGTTGAGTTTAATGCACCACCCAGAGAAACTTCATAAGAATAACAGAAAAAAGAATGAACATTCTGGAATAGAGCTGATGGAAAAATCTGAAATTGAATCAAGGTTTGAACAGGAGGGCTGGAAGTTTAAGCAATAAAATGAATGAAGACACAGGCATAAACTCTGTTAGCACCTATATTTATGCAGTTATACAGTCAGTCTTATTCATTCACTCAACAAATGATGTACAGAGCCAAAATAAGCAGTCCAGTACCATATAAAATAAAATAAAGGTGAATCTGTACCATGCAACTCTGTACTAGATCACAGGGTCTCAGAATGACTCACCAAATTTAAATGTTTCATATTCCTGTACTTAATACAGACCTACATACACACTAGGTGTCTAATAAATTCCTATTTCCTCTCCCTCTCCTTACACACTACTTTAATACCAATAGTAGGTGGGAACTGAAGAACATGAAGAAAAATGCTGCTGCATGCCTAATTCTTTTCAATAGTAAGATAAGAGAGGAAGGGAGAGGTCAAGGAAACTTCAAGACAGTCAAGTAAACAAGTACTTAAGGGACTACTATGAATTTCCGATTTCATTCCAGGTGCAACATTCAATTTCCTATTCTTGTTGAGAAAAATCAAAGAAAATTTAATAGCCATGACTTTACTTGGCATAAGACCTGTACTGTTTGTACCCCAAACAGATGGAAGTAAACATTCCAAAAAGGTCAAGTACAGTCTTGTCCCTTATAGCTGGTGTTTTTCCACTAGAATCACTTCTCTGCACAGATGTGGCAAAGCTAGACATTCATCCCTGGATAAGACTTGGGACTATGTTAAAGTTTCTTTCAAGCAACATTATAGGTCATGACTCTAAGGGAAAACTGGGGACTCTTTCAAACTCAGTATCTTAACATGAGAGAAAAATCAAGGAAAACATTTTAAATACAAAGTGAAAGAGAAAAAACAAAAGTGTATTTAATTATAATGATCACTCCAGACCACAAATGACAAAAAAAAATTAGTTTAAGAAAAAGAACTTGGTGTCATAAGTGTGCTAGTGAAATTTTTTCTATAATCATAACCATGAGTTCAACCATCTGACACAATTATCACTCAACCTGTTTTTACTTGAGAAAAAACTGAAACTTATTATTTAGAAATCTAGGCTCTAATTTTCTTTGGAATTGCAACCTGAATTGACAGCCAAAAATAGGGAGGACACTCAGTGATGAACGGCAACGTCTTTGGAGCCAGGCAGCTCTGCCACATTCAAGCATCGTGGCTCATATGGGCCAAGTGCCCAACCATCTAACACTCTGGGTTCCTTCTCTGCTCGATGGGGATAACCTGCACTGGCTTACTGAGTTAACATACGATGCTAGGACGGTGGCCAGAACAAACTAAGGGCTTCATAAACTACTAAGAGAAAAAAGTCTTTTAGGGTAGTATTCAGAGTAATGTGAAAGCACTATAAATAGATTGGCATGAACAGAAGGCATTAAGAGTTACCAACTAACAAGCTGTTTGGGGCACAGGTAGAATAAGAGGGTGTATGTGTCTTTTTCAGAATCACTTCGATGTTATATTACACTATTTATCATACTATTGTGGACAAGAATTGTAACTGCGATTTTATTACATGTCCTATATTTAAAAAACATACTCAGTAATTAGCTGGGCATGGTGGTGCATACCTGTAATCCTAGCACTCTGGGAGGCTGAGACGGAAGATCATAAGTTCAAGTCCAGTGTGGGCAACTTAGTGACTTAGCTAGATGCTGTATTAGAATAAAACATTTTAAAAAGGATTGGGGATATAGCTAAGTGTAAAGGTTCAATCCTCTGTGCCAACAAATAAATTTTCTATCACTTTTTGTTGTGAAGTGTTTCAGCAACTTTGTAGGTTGAATGTTCTTTCATGGTCTTCTAAAAGAACTAACTGATAATTCTAGAAAAACGCAGTGAGAAACAGACAACTTGGAAACTTTAGGAATATGATCTGTTTACATAGTAAGTGTTCCAGATACAGAGAAAAAAAAGTTTATAAAGGAAAATACAGACTTCTCAATGTTAAAACTGCAAACCCAAAATAATTAATATTTAAAGTTGTACTTAATACAGAGTTTTATAAGGAAACTGAAAGCCTTTTCAAAGCATCACACCAGAAATGAACTATGAGCATTCCAGTCTCCTTTTCAGATAGGAACAGTCCTATATCTCAGTTTGGGGCAATGAAGTGTAAATGAAAAGTCTGTGAGCTGCTTCTTGAAAAGAATTCTTTCAGGGAAAGACCCCTTCCTTCTGACTGGAATGTGAATGTGGAGGGGACAACTCACACTTCAGCAGCCACCTTGAACTAGAAGCAGATGCTACTGTGAAAACACCCAGGCAGCAAGACAGGAGGATCAGGCTCCTTAAAGTTCTACAGAGGTCGGGTCGGGGATGTAGCTCAGTGGCCCTGTGCCTGACTGGCAAGCCCAAGTTCCTGAGTTCAATCCCCAGTACCACAAAAAAAAAGTTCTGCAGAGGTCATGAAGCTGCACCGCTGCTCTGAACTGCCTGTCTCCAAACTTCTTTTATGTGAGAGAAAATTAATCTCTGTCTTGTTTAACCCAGTACAGGTTTGGACTCTCACTCACAGCCTAACCTAGCCCTAAGTGAGACACAAGTTAACAACTTCTAAAAAGCCATTCTCACTGTAGGGACAAAGTGTGCAAGCCTTAACCCTCAATGGCTCTGTTTGACTGGTTGATTCATTCATTCATTCATTCATTCACTCAAAGGGGCACATGACTCACCCAACCATGGATCAGTGAAGTCCAGCTGCGCTAACAAGCTGCAGGGTGTGGCATGGGACTCAAGCTTGGCCTGTGTCCAAAGACCAACAGTTTCCTGGAACTCATGATATATGCGCTCCATGTTCAAATACTCCATCCACAGATCCTGTAATGGAACCACAGTACTTGAACTGACAGACAAATCATACATTCACTTAGAATACTATGCATGTAACTATAAAATAAACCAGTAAGTTTCACTATGAAGTGGCCCACTCCAAGTTCTCTCACATTAGGATGGCTGTATTTAAAATGGCCACTAACAAAAGTTGCAAAAATTTTTGACTGTGTACAATGACTAGAAAAAACACTAAGAAGCCTTACTATATGCATATTTATAAGCTGTATACATATACTATGGAGCTAATAAATTATGTGCATATAAGACAAAGGCAAAAAATAGGATACTTTGAAGACAAAGATTAAATATATATATACATATATATACACATATATACATATATATTGAAATATATTGAAAATAACCAAATCTGGATTAGATCAAGCTTCTAAATCCAAATACCAATTTACAGGAAATACAGGAGACAGAAAAACATGTTAAGCTACACCACACAGATATAATCAGCAAAATCCTGCTGCTTTTTCTTTTTCTGTTTTTTTTTTTTTTCGGTACCGGGAATCAAACTTGGGTCCTTGTCCTTGCAAGGCAGGCTGCAGAACCACTGAACTAAATCCCTAGCCCCCTGCTGCTTTTTCAATAGCTTATCAAACAGACTCTGAAATAAATCCTAATTCTTCAGACAGGTATGTGGTTCTTAGTGACTTTATCCCATTCACATCTCTGGTTCCATCAACCCCTCTCAGCTGCTATGTCTCATACCTTTTTGCACATGCTGTGTCTTTACACATGCTAGTCTTCCTACCAGTTAATACACTCTCTGCCGCTTTCCATCCCATACCTTTCCTTTCAACCTGGCTAACTCCCATTTGTCCTTTAGGGCTCAACTCACAGTTCACCACTCCTGCACAGTTTAAATCAGGGGCTGGTCCTCTATGTCCACCCAGCACCCAGAGCATTCCACTCCCAGTCTTGACCACAATATGTGATGATTGTTTAGTCCCCTATTTAACAATAAAAGTGCCTTTGAGGGTATTGTATCAGATTTTGGCATTAGGCACCTGTCACTTAGAAGGCACTCAATAAAAGAAAGAAGGGAGAAGAGAAAGGAAGGGAACAAAGAAAACAGAAAAAAGTCACAGATTCCTACTAGAGATGAAATACTATGTACAATGTAAAAGTACACAGGTTTAAGGATCCAAACAAAAGTCTCTCAAATCCTAGAGGTTCTTAAATCCCATCCTGGTGTAAAGAAGGGGTCAATCCCCAATACAGTTAAGCCCCTAGATAAAAGCATCCAAGAGAGAGATGCTCCCCCAACCTGGCCACATTCCTTGTCCCCAAGCTGGCCATAGAAGTTTACAGAAAACTGAGATTAGAAGTCCAGGTCTGAAGAAGGGTCAGAGTCATGTTTGGGTGCTAGAGAGAAAACAGCTTACACACTCAGAGAGTAGAATCAAGTGGCTTCAGAAGGGAGACCTGAACTCAGACACTGGCAAGGAAGCCTCTTCAAAGATACACATGAGCTCCTCCCTGCAACTGACTTCCTACATAATACATGGATCCTTACAAAGCTTTCATGCTTTCTATGGTAGAAATGATTGTGTAAAAGTACTTAGCTGCTGATAATTAAAATAAGAAAGGATACAGTCAGTAAAGGCTACGTTTTTCGTTTTTTGTTTTTTGTTTGGTACCAGGGATCGAACTTGAGACTTTGCACTTGCGAAGCCAGGCGGTGGAACCACTGAGCTAAATCCCCAGGCCAACACTATGTTTTTTATGAGGTTGTAGAAAGCCTTAGAAGAGCTTTAGGCCTCTGGGTGAGGGCACAGTGGGACTGGAGATTCAAACGGGAACATCCCCCCAATACAATCATTTCTATACCTCTACAAAACGCACTGAAACAATGCTCAAAACAACAAGCTGTTTTACCATTACATTATGACTATGATCAGTTCAAACTGCACTCAGAAATGCTAAAAGTAAGATGCTGCCATAGATTCACCTGTTGATTCTGCATCACTTTGGCTAGCCTGTGAATATCATAATGCTTTGGTAAAGAAGGGATATAGGTATCTCCTTTTTGAAAACTTTCATCTTCTAGCCACAATATATATACGTTGAAGAGCCTAAAAGACAAAACAGTTACACAAAATATAAAAAGATATGCAGGCAAATCAAGTTTCTTGTATTGCTAGGAAATGTAGCACCACTACGTAGCAGTAAAGAAAGCTTGTAATCCAGAAAATATGTCTAACAACTACCATCCCTCCCAACAGACTCACAGTCCAGCAGGAGAGACCTGTCACAGATCATTAAAATATGATGTGATAATTGCTAAAACAAAAGGTTTGATGAAGGAGCTCTGAAAGCTCCATTAATAAAAGGTTAAATAATGTACACAGAAAAAATAACTGAAGGAGGTAACTACACCACACTCCTACAATCTGAATTTGGAGCTTTGCCTTCCAGAGCAATTTGGCCACAGTAAATCTTAGTTCTCAGAAAGTATTGAAACCATTTTAAGTCTCTTTATTGGAAAAACTTGCCAGTTTTAAGGCCAATGGTCATTTACTGCCTTAAGGAATCATAAATAAAACTCTCTGTACATGTGTACCCTGTTTCCATTAAAAAGGAATAAAACATCAAAGCCAGTGCCTCCCAATAAAAAAATAGAAAGGAATAAAACAAGGGTAGGCTTACCAAAAATTCTCAATTTTCCAATAAAATCTTTTAAAAAAATATAATGATGTTTCCTTTCTTTATGTATTATTCTTACAAGGAACACAGTCCATTTACCTAAGATCACTGGTATTCTATGCCATTGCTTGCACTAAGAGAACTAGCTGGCACAAAAAAAAATTACTGGGTGGGAGACTAGAAGGTGGCATGGCATGGCTTCCACTCAATAAAGTGGAAAACTACCTGCTTCACCTCTAGGTCAGTGTATCTAGGAAGACAGATGTGGACAGGGTGGGAAGACGCTGGTATGTACATAGTTCTCTTTCCTACTCCTGACTCAGTGAGACAGATGGGCACTTTCTGAACATACCACAGAAGGGATTTAAGGGAGAAGGACTATCAAAGACCTTCTCGCCTGATCTAAAATGTTCAAAGAGAAAGCTTTCCACTCCTTAAGCCTGGTAAAAAAATAAGTTTTCCTTCAGCCATGAAAGCTAAGGGGAGGAATAATTCTATAGCTTACAGTGGGCCCAAAGGGCCTGAGGTAAACCAAGTCTGAGGCCTCAGTATTACATGAAATGCTAGGTTTCCTTATCGAGCTATTTTATAATCAGGCTTCATGATAAACAGTGATTCTTGTTAAGTCTTATTTATGACTAATTTTTGATTTATATTAAACTTAAAAATAAAAAGTGAAGAAATAGTTGGCAAAGAACCTACATTTGTCAGAGTTCTCAACCTTTTCGGTTCTGCAAATACTATGTCTGATTTGATAAGCAGTTTTGGGAGATGCCTAGATCCCATGGGGGCAGAGGGATTTGAACCATCGTTAAAAAGTCCTTCCCTAGAAATTTATTTCTTTTGCAGAGCTAGTCTAGCAGGCTCTGATAGATGCCTACTGTGACCAATTTGTTTGGGTTTATTTTTATTTTTACATAAAGAAATAAAACAAGCCCTCTGATTATCACTCAGACTGCAGCCACGGGACAGATGTACATCTAAATAAACAGGTGACGCATTAATGAGAAGCATTTCAAGGAGCAATCCTATATCAAACCCACAATCATTCTCAATCTTATAGGGGGGTAAGGGTAACACCTTGAGACTCTATCACAGCTACATGCTCCAGCACAGTACCTGTGCTGCTGAAAACAGAAATGGCTCAGTAACCTCCTCACCTCACGAGTTGTGTGTGCAGCTCTGGTGAAGTCAGGTAACCAGGAGTGCAAGCCTGGCTCTCTGGCAGCCCTTCGCTGCCCTCTGCTGGAACACGGAGGGCCTTGCTAGCAGCGTGGTGGAAGTCGGCCACCTCAGTCAGACGCCTCTTTAGGTCTTTCAACAAACTGATGTGAACGGCACTTTGAAAAAATCTTCTTCCAATACAACCATCTATGGGTAACCTTAAAAAACATTAGCACAGATCTATAACTTTTCAACATAAGATGTTCTTTCTATGTGGCAAAAACCAGTCAACTGACAAGACAAGTTACAATGGCTGGGTAATACACTATTAAATCTATTACTTCTACCTTTATTTTGAGGATGCAACAAGATGGTGTATACAACAACCCCCCATTTGTGGTTTCACTTTCTGTGGTTTCAATTACCCTCAGTCAACTGTGGTCCAAAAATATTACATGAAAAATCCCAGAAATAAATAACAAGTTTTAAATAACTTGTGTTACCATATATTGTTATAATCATTGTTGTACTATATTATTACTTATTGTTGTTAATCTCTTATTATGCCTAATTTTTTTTTTTTTTTGCAGTGCTTTGGATTAAACCCAGGGCTTCGTGCATGCTAGGAAAATGCTCTATCACTGTACCACAACCCTAGTGATGCCTAATTTAAAATTAGGATTTATCATAGATATGTGCTTATACGAAAAACACAGTATATCTAGGATTCAGTACTAGCCATGGCTTCAGGTACCCACTGGAGGTCTTAGAACATATGCCCCAGAAATAGGAGGGAATATTACATGAAAGAAGTTTTTAGAAGAATAAAATGCTACATAAATTCAAGGCATCATCACCATTTAGAGGAAGAAAACAGATTAAAAATGGTCTCTGCTCTTGAAAAATTTGCAGTCTGGTAGAAAATAGAAGTGACAAAGAATCAGCATCCTTATGTTTCTAAGGAGCGAGTGAAGGGAATAGAGGGGCTGGGAACTGAGATGCAAGGATCTACAATAGTAGACAGTTCCATTTGGCCAGAGGACCTTCTTATCCAGTGGAACTGTTAGGCCCAAGCACAACACAAAGCGTGGCCTGGCTCATACCTGCACTACTCATCACAAGGTCCCCTCATATAAGCTGCATGGTAGCCACACATGCAACCTTAGTTTGGGGAAATTTCTTTCCTTTTGGACTTCCAGAGGTTCTTGTGCTAAAATTTGTCCAGTTCTAGAGTACTGTCCTCTCTATTTTGGGGATAGAAGATGGTAAAGAAAAGTTGCCACACTATACCCCATTAAAAAAAAGATTTAGTCCAATAAATGTTAAAGAAAAAGGGAGATTCTTAGTTAGAGGTCACAAAGAATGACTCTGACTCACACTCCAAAATGTGAGAACACATAGATTCAGCAGTGGGTTCACAGGAACATGTACCATACCCATACTGTGGTCCTGGGCGGTGAAGATACAAGAGGAAGAACTTCTGCCAAATGAGTGGCAGGAGTGGGTGATCTGAAGGAGTGACCAGAGCCTGGTGGGCCCAGCGGTAAATCAGTAGCCTCTGCAGGGATGGGACGATGGGGAGCTTCAGCTGGGCCTGGGCTTTCTGCAAGAGAGAAGAGGCTTTAGTAATCACAAAATGAACACAACTGCAGTTTGCTCTATATGATCCAAATGAAATGCTAAACATTTTGTTTTCAACTCAGTAAGAAAAAAATGTCATATAAAATTCATTTCTACAACCCACTTACACTTCAACCACCTTGGCAGCAAGCCATGTAATGTAGCTTTCTGCTGTCAAGACATGTCACAGGCCCCAGAATCAAAATGGCTCTTAAGAGTCATCTAATCTAACCTCTTTCCATTTCTGAAGTTTCTTTGCATATAAAAAGCTATAAAGCAAGGTATTAGAATTATAACAAAAAAAAAATCTGACCCAACTTTATCAATCTTTTGGAAATTTAGATTTTAAAAGGACCTCCCAGAATGAATTCCTTAAGAGGCTCTGAAATCCAAAAGCTAAGTCTCTACCGTGAAATCTAAAATAGAAGCTCTTTTGATCTAAAGCCTTATTCCAGTCTTCTTCACACACCAGTGAGCCTAACAATCAATCAAGGTGTTTCTAAGAAGAAACTCCTAATTACAATCCAGATAAGAGACTTAGCATCTCAGTAGCTGGGGTCATCAATCTGATTTGTAATAATTTTCCAAGGGATTCTGATGCACTTGAGCCATGAGGGCAACTGTTGCAAAACAACAGTGATGCCTTCACTTGGGCAATGAACACATTCCTTGATTACTGGGCTATGACTCCAGTTGTTAAAAGAGCCTTGGGGTGCTTGCTTCAGCAGCACATTCACTAAAAGAAACTTGGGAAGTCAAGTGTGCACTTCAATTACATGAATATTTTAAGTACTGGTTTGGTGTCTGTGCTTTCCAAACACCCATAACAAAAGAAAATAGTTCACATGCTAAGGTGAAATCTCTCAGCACTAAAGTACAAGCCATCTCCTACCACTTGAATGCAGAACTACTATTTGCACCTTCAGAGCTTGGTCAGGGGTAAAAGTAGAGTTCATCACCAGTTCCCCTTCAACAACTCTTCGGAGCTGGGAGTCTTCTTCAAAGATGGATTCCATGTTTAGCACGGTCCATGCAAACCAGACCTGCAATGACACCAGCAAAGGGGAGAAAAATGAGCCACTGATTCCAACTGATACAATATATCCTGATCATTCACAAATTAAAATATTTTCTAGGGCTTGTGGTATAGGTCAGTGGTACAGTCCTTGCCTAGCATGCATGAGGCCCTGGGTTTGATCCCTGGCACCACACACACACACACAAAAGCCCTTTTTTTTTTTCTGACTGATAGCAAATAGTTTCTAAAATTAATATATTTAATACCCATCTACATTCTCCTCATATTTATAAAATTAGACAAAATGGATAACTGGAAAATGTTAAATTCTTTTGGAAAGGCTACTTTAGTACAAGGATATTCATTCACTCAACAGTATTTCCTCAGCAAGCTCTGTATATATAAGTAGAGGGCCAGACATGAGCTCTAACCTTAAGTTTTTCATCTATCAGACAAGAATGAAATATAAGGAACCAAAAATGTGAAGGGAGCCATGTTGAAAAGCTGAAATGGGGCACAGGGCTGTTATCAGATAAGGCCTGTGAAGAGATCAGTAGGAAAGATTTCTCTCAGAGAACCAGCGAGACAGAGGCACAGAGGAAGAGAAGCAGGGATGAGTTTAAGCAAAGTCAAGGAGTTGGTGTTAATTCGATCACAAAAAGGTATGAGGAAGGGCAGTAAGGAAGCCTAGTAGATGGTAGGATGTACTACTGATTTACATGATGAAACAGAGAAGTAATTTTACACACACAGGCTGAGAGCTAGTAACGATAAAAATAATGCTGTTGCTGCTAATGATGACAATAACAACAGCCAACACTTAGCGCTGACAATGTGGTGAGCACTGTTGTAAATACTTTCTATATAGGTGCAATCATATTCCCATTTGACAGCAATATAAGCAAGCTGCCAAAAGCACAGAGCTAACAAATGCCAGAACCAAAATTAAAATCCAGGCCATTTGGCTTCCGAGCCTACTCTTAACCTAAGTCAGGACACTGACCTAACCTCAGTTAACTCCTCTGTAAAACAGGAACAGTGACAGCATCTTAACAGAAAAGCTGTTGTGCCGATTAAGTTAAAAAATGCATTTATATGTAGCAAGTGCTAAATAAAGGTTATTGTTAGTAATTTATGTTATGTAGTAATTTATTAGTAAGGAAAACAACATTAAAGGTCATAAACATCACAAATGGCCCTCTTAGTAGACTTTGTACCTGAGTGGGTGTGGCCAGGCCCTCCACAAAGGAAGGAGTGATGTTGCCTGCCACGATCCAGCTCACCAAAGAAGACAGCAGACTTCGGTCACAGTGGTAACCTAAAGCATTCTATACCAGGAACAGAGAAAGGAAGCTTTTTAAAAAAAATTTTATCGGGGCCGGGGATTTAGCTCAGTGGTTCTGCTGCCTGCCTCGAAAGCACAAGGTCCCGAGTTCAATCCCCAGTACCAAAAAAATCAGCCTAGGATTTAGCTCAGCGGCACTGTGCCTGCCTGGCAAGTGCAAGGTCCTGAGTTCTATTCCCAATACCGAAAAAAAATCTTATTAACTCTTTCAAGAACATTACCAATTGTCTCACTACAATGGAAGATTCTATTACGACACAAACTTGAGGAAAGAATCCAACTGCACCACAGTCCCAGGCAGTGTACCACAAATAAATGTAATATGCAGAGCCCCTCCTGGGTGTCCTCTACCTTGACTTCCCTGGGATCCGTGCTAGTAGACTATGATTACTGAGATAAGACACCATTAAAGCAAGCTTAAAATAAGTAGTGGCCACTGAGTAATACCAATAACTGTTTATTTAGGAGAATCTTTTAGAAAGTCACTAGTAACTTTTAGAAAGTTACTAGTCAGTGAATGAAACCCAAATTCTCTAACAGGTTACCTTATGTTGCTGGTAGAGTAATTTCTGTACACAGTCTTCCTGCATCAGCTGAAAAGCTGTTTTACACAAGTTATCCATGAGGAAGAGGATGGGCTGTTCTCGGTACCAAAGATGCTGGCTTATGAGAGCCTGAACCCAGAACTCCAACACAGCAACAGGACCCACTTCATTGGGCTGAGTGCTTACAAATATGTGTGCCTGTAAGAAGCAGCTTAGCTAATGAGAAAGGTAATAGCCAGCCTCCCACTGTTAAAACACCAACAAAATATACCTCCACTAAAGCTCAAGTACGTTGGCTTTCTGAGCCAAAAGCACTGCACAACATTCAAAATGACATCATAAATGTGCTAACACCAGAAGTTTTTGGTTGGGAAGAGAGGCAAAAGTATACTTAGGGGCTTTCGAGGGCCCTAACCTGGATCATGCTGTTGAGAAGCTTCATGTTGTCCCCATGGCTGGCTCCTGTTAGGTGCTGTGCCACTTTGTGGGTGACCTGCTGTGTGACACCTTGAGGTACACCGCTGTCCAAGTGTAGGAACAGGAGAAGGTGTGACAAAAACCTGCCAACCACACAGGATCACACACTTTACCTTCCCATCAGGACTCAGCAGAATTGTCAGCAGTTAATTACATATGAGGAAACAGAAAAATGTTAATTGGTCCCATTTTTGGACCAAAATGCTACTTAGAGATTCTGATAAATCTTCAGAAATTTCAGAAGAATACAGTTTTCATATTTAATGTGGGTTAAAAAGAATTCTATTTACCTGTAGAAGTGTAATGAATAGATCCGACACACTCAAACACAAGCAAATTAAAGATCATTAGAGGAAAATTCCTAAAGGATCACTATTACCTCCAAATCTCTCTAATTAACAGATTATCTCCACTAATCAATAGAGATATTTTCCAAACTGTTCAGTTCCCAAACTTCCCTACTGCCTAGGATGTTAATTTTTACATTTTAAAAAGGGAAAGAGTTCCTCTGGGCCCTAACACTTTCTACTAAAGTCAAATCTGCAGGAGAGGAGCATGAGAAACCATACTTTATGAGCTCTCTCAGGTGATTCTTATCACCAGGCAAGTCGGTGACATACTGAATGAAAAGACACACAACAAAAAAACTATAATGGTCCCCTTGTACCCCTGAAAGTACCTACCCCACTACAGGGCTCCTCCATATCAAGCCCCTGCTCCTTGGACATAATCTTCTTCCCATCTTTCTTTGTATCTTATTTGTCTGCAACACTACACTACACTGCACTATACACAGTGTAGGCAATGAAAACATGTTTTGCTATTGTTAAAAGAGCAATGCCATCTGCTGCTCAATGTCAGGACCACTATTCCCAAAGTTTCAGGGAAATAACTGCTCTTTAAAATACTAATAAGCTTTATTTGTGCCCCTTCTTTTAAGAACAATGTTGCATTATGTTCATTTGGATAAACTGTGATTTAACAACTGATTTAAATAAAATACTTGCTTTCACTTAAAAACAATACTAATAAGCTTTAAATAAGCAATCCAAAGTTAAATGAGAAGGGAAATATCTTTCATGATAATAAAACTGGAATCATTATGAGACATTGTTCACCAACCTGCATTCTAAAGTGGGGTACAGCAGTTTTCTGCCTCATAAACACACTGTTGAAATACTCCATTTTTAGTTCAGAAACCAGAAGACATAGTCATTTGTACTCGCTGGGCTGTTTCTGAAGAATGCCTCCTGCACAGAGCAAACATACTTACTGCTCATTCTTCAGAAGGTAACACTGGCAAGGGTAGAACAAAGGCAGAATCTTATCCAGGATGTGCACCACCGTTCTCAAATGCCTCGACTGGATCAGAATTCCCAACAGTGGGATGCCCTCTACACAGAATTTCACAATGCTATGGAAAAGAAAGGACAGTGAGTACACAAGGTAGATAGTTCATAAAATTAAATTCTTATAGATAGTATAGGTTATCAGCCTATCAGACGTGGATTAGCTCAGGTCTCCAACACATTTTTAAACCCAATCTTCAGACAGAAATACTAGACTCTGAAAGTACAGATACTTAAAATTTCATCTATATTTTCACTTTATAGGTGAGAAAGGAGACTATTATGCTCAAATTCACATAATTTCCTAGGCTATGGTCAAAGTGTTCCAGAACCCAAGTTTGCAAATTTCTATTTCAGAGCACCTGCCATGACCCTATTTTGTTTCTCAAACAGTGCCTCTTCTAAGAGTCTTGGGCACTCTCCCTGTTTGGACATTCCCACAAGTTACTACAACAAAGGCAAGATTCAAAAATGAACTTATTCCCTCAGTATAAACTGGCAAAATTCTTCTAATACCAATTTGGCGTAAAAATTTTTTGTTTTTGGTTCACTTTGGAGACTCTATCCTTAAATAATCTCAGTTATAGAAAAAGCTATAAAAGATGGTCCATGTAAAGATAACTACAAAACTCAAATACAAAAATGACAAGTAAATTTGGAGAAAATCTATTAAATGGGAATCTTACTGCATCATTTTAAAATAGTATATATGGGCCAGGGATTTAGCTCAGTGGTTCCGGCGCCTGCCTCGCAAGCTCAAGGTCCTGAGTTTGATCCCTGGCGCCAAAAAAAAAAATTGTATATATGATAGTAAAGGGCAACATGGAAAAATTTCCACTTATAATGATACCAGGGGAAAAATACAAAATTTCATACTCGTGATTACAACTACTAATAAAAAATGTTAGATATTCTGGGCCTGTTAGGCATGTCTATCATCCCAGCTACTCAGAAGACTGAGGCGGTTTGTGTTCAAGACCAGCCTGAGCAACTTAGCAAAACTGTCTCAAATTCTTAAAAAATTAAGAAGGGCCAGGGATGTGGCTCAGAAGTAGACCATTTGCATAGCATCTGTGAACCTCTGAGCCTCTGGGTTCAATCACAGCAACACAAAAAAGAGACAGGGGGTGGGGGGGGGGATAAATCATGAGGAAAAAATATGGGATAATGTCATGCCAAAATGTTCATTTTATTAGAATGGTAACAGTGAGTGGCTTTTTCTGTATTTTCCTAATTCTGTGGTTTGGTTGTATTGCTTTAACTCTAGGGGAAAAAATCATTTCAAAAAATAAAACACTGCAAAGGCTTTGCCATGATGGAGATACTTAAAGTATTAGAAATGAAAAACAAAGGAAACAAAATTAAATACACATGAGAGCTTTAAAAAAAGATCACAGGAAAAACTATTAGATAAAAAGAAAAAGAAAAAAGCAATTATAGAATGGGAAAGATTCTGGATGATTTTCTGTCCATTACTCTCTGTGCTGTCTGTAATGTCATACTAATATACAATTTATGTCTCTGCCTACTCCACTCCACCCCAACCTAGGCCCATTCATAGGATTATTTTAAGTTACTTCACTACTCTAGAACACCCACACCAAAACGACTGCTCATAGGGGAATCAGCCCAAATGGAAACACTTTATTCTCACCCTCAGTCACATTCAGGATTCAGTAATCAGCACTAAACAAATACTGTATGTATATTTAGAAAGAACCCTTATACAGTCCTGGAATTGAAGAAATCATAAAACATGCTCAGAAAACTGTACTCAAAGAATCTCTATTCAGACAGGAAGAGTGCTATATGTATTACAACCCACTTAAGTGTCATAAAGTCAAAAAAATATTTCCAATTTAGAGATGAAGAATCTGAGGTTCAAGAAACTATTAATGACACTAGAGCTACTAGGAACAACGTAAAATGTACATTTTTTTAATTCATCAAGTTTATGGGTACATTTTAGGTATACAATACGATGACATTTATCACTGGGAATGTGTACCTTTACAAGATATATCTTGGTACTTATTTTTTCCCCCATTCCCCTGCCTCCCCTCCACTCCTCCACTCCTCCCTATTTACAAAGACTTGATTTCCATTTTTTCCTTTTCTCATATTTTTTCCTTTCCCTTCTTTCCTTTCCCCTACCCTTCCCACTTCCCCTTTCCCTTTAGACCTTTTCTTCCTATTTCACATTGTCTATTATACACTCTGATTCTTATTTACACTTGCAGTTTCTCACACCAGAGAAACTATTACGTACTTACACATGTTTGTCCTATTTGTTTCTAAAGTGTACATTCCTAAGGGCCTAAATAACTATCTCTCCTTCATTAGACAACTGTCTCTCCTTAGATAACTTTCAAATTTGTCCATAATTTGGCCCTACCAACCACCTAATCACTTTTGTTCTCCAACAGGAATCATGTGCTTCAATCAAAAATGTTTCCTCAACTTATTTCCTTTTCTTACCTTCCCCACTCAGATATTGGATGCTCCTTCCCATATTCACTGCATCTATCCGAATTTGTTGAATATCTGCTAAGTACAAGTTCTAGAGACACACAGATGAACAAGACAAAGCCCTTACCTTTTACAAATAAGCTCTACGGATTTATTAAAAATTTATTTAAAATGTGTGCACTATGTGAGTGTCCGTGTGCATAAATATATATATATATGGAGGTGCAATAAACGAACATGAGTTAATCTAAGCACCATTTCCCCTTGATAAACTATTAATTAAAGTTTAAAAGCTTATCTGGATGTCGTGGCATACCCCTGTAATCTCAGCTATTCAGGATTCTAACACAGGAGGATCACAAATTCAAGGCCAGCCTGGGAAACTCTGAAAAACCTATTTCAAAATAAGATTTTAAAAAATAGGCCAGAGGGCTAGGGATTTAGCTCAGTTGTACCACGCCTGCCTTGCAAAAGCAAGGTCTTGATTTCAATCCCCAGTACCAAAAAAATTTTAAAAAAAGAATAGGCCAGGCATAATGACACATGCCTGTAATCCCAGCATTTGAGGCAGAAGAATCACAAACTCAAGGCCATCCTGGACTAGTGAGCCCCTGTCTCAAAAAAAATAAATAAATAAAAAGGCTTGGAATGTGGCTCCATGCTTGCATAGCATGTGTGAGGCCCTAGGTTCAACTGCTAATACAGAGGAACAAAGGGGGGGGGCCTATCATTTGGTCCTAATTACCTCTCTATAGGTTTAATAGAGGCCTCCGATCTTGGGAAGTGAAAGATGAGAGTCTAGAACACTGTACCTGTGGCCCACAGTCGTCATGGATAAGGCAAGGTAACAGCCAATGGGCATGCCTGCTTTCACAGCCTTCAGGAGAGGATGAAACATGGGTGACTCTGTCATGTCAGGCACAGTGCTGGAGAAGGGAACAGCTGGACATTTCTGTTGCATTCCATAATCGTTTTTGTGCAATTTTAACCTCAAGATCAAATTCCAAGCCCATTGGTTAAATGAGGTCTCAGGAGTTTCTCCGTATCGAACAATGCTGGCCAAATAGGAAACCTAAAACAATTATTTATTTCACACCACATTAATCACATACAAATTAAATCAGTAAACTCATCTGTCATCTCTTTTTATGATCAATAATGCCTTTGAAGAATATACTATTTACTGGCCTTCAATTAATGTTTGTTACACTGCACTAAAGCAATTTCTCACTCAGCTGACCACTTCCACTTACCTTCTAGTCACTTTGTAAACCTGATTTTAGCTCAAGCAAAAAAGAAGTGATATAAAAGTTAATACTCAAGGAATGATGTGCTGGTAAGTTTAACAATCAGTTGGGGTGAGGGGGTCTCATTTATAGCGTTTGCCAATTTGAGTGATATAAAAACTCCCAGTATAACCAATTTCAAGCTACCAATAGTTATTTTAACAACCTAGCTTGCAAAGTTCCTAGAAATTTAACAGTCCGTTCTAAGCCAGTATGAGTGAGTGCTGGCACATCACTAGACCTCAACGCAAATTCTAGAATACCAAAATGATTATGAAAAGGCTACTTTTAAAGGAAAAGGTCTTTATCTAACCATAGGAACCAATTTTAATCATTTAAATTGTCAGGAATGTTCTTAGAAAACCCAAGGATCAATACTGTAACTTCATCTGCCCAGGCCATTTGTAAACAAAGACTTAAGTTCGTAATATATAAGAAGAGGAAATACCTGCTTCATACTTTCAGAAATAAGCCCAGCATATGGTTTTTGTGCAAGATACTTCTGATAAGCTTCAAGGACCATTAAGGCCACTTCAGCATGGACTGCTTGATCCAGATGAAGGGTACCCTTTCAAAGAGAAAAATAATCATAAACATACCATCTTATGTTTATGTGTACTTTGTTTTTTGCAATTGAACAAGGAATTAGGCAGAATAGTAAGAGATGGTCTTGGATACAGAAGCTAAATGTTCCAAAAATCACATCCCCTAACAGTGAAGTTATAAAATATAAATAAGGGGAAAAACTGAAATCTAAAGAGCAATTACACTGCATCATATAGCTCTGAACATGAGTTATCCTCCACTCCAGCCATAAAAAGCTATCTTTGAATGAAATCTCCCACCCCACAATAGAATTCTGCAAAGACTTTGGGTTGTAAGTTAAGGAAATTGCCAACTACGAAAATGCTTATTATTAAACAAAAAGATATTTGATAGATTAAGTCTACATTCCCTTTTCCTGTTCCATCATCAATGAAAATAAGTAAGACACTCAACAACACAGGTTAAGATACTTCTTCAGGAATCTGAGGTTGTCTATGGAATTTCTCATCCAGCCTTTCTTTGCAGCTTTTGAAAAATCCACCTACTGATCCTTTCATAGAAAATAATGTTTCCAACTCGAACAGTAGTGAGGAGACTGTCACAGAGGAGTCTTCATGCAGCTCTCTGAGAGTGGGAAGGCATTCAGAAGATGTAAAGGAGGAGAACAGCCCCTGTGACTCTCACCCATGAGCACTTCGGTGAGAGCAGACCCAGGTGAATCCACAGACAAACCCAGGGAGTCAGGGACAAAGCTCCCAGGCCTCATTCTGGACAACAGGCATCAGATTACTGCAAACTCCATAAGACAGCTGCAAGGATTTAATGACTTGCTCAGAATAAAAGCTGGCAGACAGTTGTAAAGGGCTGAATTCTTCCCAGTTTTCCTTTTAAAATATTAGTATTTTCATCAAGCAGCTAATAAGGCCTATAATAGGCAGGAAAGGTTTTTAACAATCAAAATCACTTGACATGGCATCTTTGGAAACACATGATATATAACAATCTTTAATAATAAACCAGTAATAACTACAGCACTGAGTAATTAACATGTGCCAAGAACTGTCCTACATGTTTGCATGTCCTCACTTGTTGAATTCTTACAATATCTCCATGAGGTAGATCTATTAATGTCAATGCTTACAGAAGAGCAATGGAGGCCCATCGCATTCAGGAAGCTTTCTCAGGGAGCTTCCTGGTCACACAACCAGGAAGTAGTAGAGCTTGGAAGAGACTGAGGCAGACTGGCTCAAATTCAGGCTTATAATTAATACACGAAGCTTTAGAAAACAACTCTGGCAATGACATGCAAGACAAATTCAGGAGGAAGAGAAACCAAGGACAAGAAAGGCAATTAGGAGGAACTACAGTAACTAGCCAGAGAAAATATAAGAGTCATAAATGAACTAAAGAATAAAGGGAAAAATTTCCAACACAGAACAATGCATCTTCATTTATAAGATGTTCACTCCACAAAACAGAATTAAAGAAAAGGTCCTAAACAAAGACACAGCTAAAAGAATTTGCAGAACTTGCAAATGATACTCAGAAATGTTAAAAGGTTTGAAGAAAATGCTTTCTTAAAATGGAATTTCCAATTCCTGCAGAACTTTTTTAAACACATACCTGCTCAGCAAATCCCCAATTCAGTCCTTCTAGAATAACACAGGCCAGTTTATTCTTCACTGCTGTCAGGTTGTGATTCAATAACCAATCCCGAATCACAGCTATCTCAGAGGCAGAAGGTTGCCAAAGATACAAAGGCAATTCTTTAAACAAGTATAAAGAAACCTTATTAAAAGAAAACAGTAATAATTAAAATCAGGACTTAGAGACAACCCCATATTGCCAGAATACATTTTTAAACTGTTTGTAAATGGGGTTTTTTTCCCAAGAGGAAGTATTTTACACTAGTGAAATAAAAATCATGGAAAATTAAATCAAATGGACTCAAACTGATATGCCAAAAACACACTTAGCAACCCTCTGTAAAGATCAATAATTTTAAATATGTAAATTGATATGCTTCATTTTAGCTAAACTACAAATTAGACACAAATTTTATTAAAGCCAAGGGAAGGTCACTCATTTAAAAAAAAAAAAAAAAAAAGCACCAAGGGCCAAGGATTTAGCTCAGTGGTTCCACTGCCTGTCTCGAAAGCGGAAGGTCCCAAGTTTGATCCCTGGTACCCAGAAAAAAAAAAAAAGCACTTTAGTTACTTCTTTATGACAGTTAAAAAGCTATTTCTATTTAGCTCAAAGCAATCTGTAGGAAGGGGTATAGAATATAAGAAGTAGATGGGGATACATATGAAATATGATCCATCAAAAGTGGGTGACTTCTGGTTCACACCTAAGCTGACATTTATTCTTTTAAAACTTTTAACTTAATCTCCCTAATGAGTGTATAATACGATCTTGTTACTATACTGATTAGTATTTTTCTGATTCTAGTGTTGCACACCTTTCCTTGTGCTGTACTGGCTATTTATCATCTTCTTTTGTCTACTTCTTAATTGGGTTGTCTATTAATGAGCTGTAAGAGTTCTTTATATATTCTGGTCATAGGTTATATATATTGTAAATATGTTCTGTTTAAGGACTACTTTTCAATTTCTTAATGATATCTTTTAAAGTTCTAAATTCTGATGGAATTTCATTTATCAATTTTTTTCTTTTATACATATTTTTTGTATCCTAGAAAATTCTTGCCTACCCTAAATTCATGAACATTTTCTAATAATTTCTTCTTAAAGTTTTATATTTTAGTCTTTCATATTTAGGTTCATAGATCCTTTCAAGATATTTTTATGTATGGAAATAAAGGGTTGAGGTTAATTTTTTACATACGGATACCAGGTGTTCTAGTACCATTTGTTGAAAACACTATCTTTTACTCTATTCTTGAGTTGAGTTTAGGTTCTATAAAATGTTAATGTTAAATAATCTTTAAAAAAATCAGTGGACCATATATGTTTGGTTCTATTTCTAGATTCTGTTTTATTTCATTGATCTATATGTCTTTCTTTATACCAACATTGCCTTGATTTCTGTAGCTTTAGAGGAAGTCTTAAAAGTAGGTAATAAATGTCTTCCAACACTGTTATTTTTTTTTCTTTTTACTTTTCTAGGTCCTTCGTACTCCTACATAACGTTTAAATTTCAATATCCAATTCTTCATTTATAGCAAGTATACATAAACATGAATTTTTATATATACCTTGTGTTTTCTAATCCTG